CATATATCATAAATATATTTTGTTTCACAAGCACTTGCTCTGATGGATAATATTGAGATAATATAATTTTTATTCTATTATAAAAGGACTAATATGAAAGAATAGATAAATATAGCATATAAAATTGGGGGTAATATATTCATTAAAAAATTGTAGCTGTAAATTCATTCTTATCAGCACATATTATTTTATTGGTATATGCTGATAGTTTTATTATATATTTATATTTATTTATAGAAATAAAACCATGAAAACAAATAATTTATATTAATTTCTTATTAAAAAAATTTCTATTCATATATTTTTTTAGTTAAGTAATGTATATAAACATATATATAATAAAAATAGTTCGTTCTATGATCATATAGTAATTGTCTTATCAGTTACATATACATATTAGTTTTAACTGCGTACATATTTTTCATAAAATAGGAATTATAATAAAAATACATACTTAAGTAGTTTAATTTGCTTTTTTATTTATGTTCCTTATACAAATATGAATTTTCATATACTTCTTAATTTCTCTATATTTTTTTAGTGCCTTATATATTGATTATATGACTAGATTATAAAATGTTAGCTATGTATTCTATGTTTAAATTTCGTATATATACATATGTGAGATCACTTTGGAGCACATAAAATGAATGGTATATTTTTTATATAAAATATAGAATTCTATATATTTGTCTTATATATTTTATAATTATATACACTGCATTATCATATTCTTATAAAATAAATTAAACATTTATTCTCACATGTCTTATGTGCTAGTATATATGACATAAATAATATAATAATTTCCATCTCAAAAATCCTTAATATAAGGATATATATAAATTGGGTTTTTTTAAAAAAATAAATCTGTAGATAAATAATTTTCTTTCTTATTATATAAAAAAATTCTAATTTAATATACCACAAAAAAAGGAATACAAATTTGTACACAAAATATAAAAAAAATCAATCAAAAATATTGTATCAATTAAATGATAATCTTTAATTATAATTAACAAAAAATAATAAAAGTTATATGAAATTACATATTAATATTATAAATGTGACATAAAATAACATACATACTTTTAGAGCATTCTATATGAATTTTATATAAATTTAGAATATATATACTTATATGTATGTGTAGCATTAGTATTTAATAACTAGTAATTCATTTTCAATCGTTTTATATTTAAATATATAATATTTTGTTAATACATTTTAGTTGAACTATATTTAATCATTAGTGATATATGTAATTTCAATATGGATTAACATATTAGCTAATATTCTATATTATTATTTTATATGTATTATTCATTTATTAATGTATAAATGCCATTTTAATTTAAATAAAAATATATAATAGCAAGAAAAACATTCATTGCTTATTTTGTACTTTTTGTTTTACATTTATATGCATAGTGAAAGAGACTTCAAAAATTATATATTGTTCTATTTGAATCCTTATATATATGATTGCAAAAAAATCATGTTCATTTATTCTTTGTTATATTATGATAATTAATTCTGTTTCAAATAAATTCAGTACATGTATCAATGTAAATATTTGTTACAGTAATTTATATATATTTTAAATATAATATTTTCTGATTATTATATTATAAACAATAAAATTATTTAGAATTGTATAATATATGATATCTATTGATTCTAAAATCGCAACGTGGTGTTTCAGATAGTTCGAGTACATTCTTTTCTTTATCTATATTATTATATTGTTTTCTTTTTTTCATAGGTGCACATCGAAAACTTGAACCATATGGGGTGAACTAAATCATAATTAAAAAAATTAATATATAAGATGCGTAAATGTTTTCTAAAATTTTTTTTCATTTTAAATTACTTAAAAATATACTATCCCTGTATAACCATACACATATAACATCATTGTAGACCTTATACAAAATAAATAAAAAAAAAGATATGGCCAATACTATACTAATTGTAATTATAGCGGGAGCTCTTATGTTGGTTTTGGATGATGAGAAGCTTGGATATTGGAATTTGAACGAAGGTAGGATTGAATATTTTAATGGATTACAGTTGTCAGATAACTTTAGCCCATTGTATAAAATCCTAATATTATCTAATGCTTTACAAAATGAGTTCTCATAATCGGAATTACATCTATGATTGTATCGTTCATATATATCTGAACATTCATCTCCGCAATTACATATATTATTGTTTTTACAAGTTTTAAAATTGAGATTATTAATATCATGAATTTTTGTATTCATATCATATATGTCTTTGAGCTTTTTCACATCATTATCGGTAATACTGTTGTCAATGTAAAAATTACATATGGGATTTTTGTATATTCCATCATTAAAAAGTTTTGGATAAACATCATTTATAGTCATATTTATTCTTTTATCCTTAATTTCATTATATAGCCAATAATATAGGAATAAACAGAATGCCCTGTTAGGTATTGTATCAGAATTTTCGTTAATATAAGATATAAATGAAAAAGCTGCGTTACATTTAATTTCATTGAATATTTTTTTTAGTTCAATATGCGAACCGAAGTATCCTGTAGAACATACAGGATAGCTATCTTTTGGTTTATTAAGATAATATTCTATAATCATGTTGTATTAAGGAAAATCCTTAACTAAATTGTACTAAAAAAAAGAAATAATATATATATAACAAGCATAATTTTATTTTAAAAAATGATTATATTACTTATGAGCAATGAAATAAACATTTATTATAAGACATAATATTATTTATTAATAATTATAAGATACATTAATTACCACCATATCGGATAGGACACATAAATTTTGCATAAAATAAAAATAATAATGAAATAAATTAACAAACGTATTTATATTTATAAAAATAGTGAAATATAGTATGAATAATAGCTCTACTACTTTTTTTATAATAAAGAATTAATATAAAAGTGTCATAAACTCATTGTATAATTGATGTTTACTGCTAAATATACACTATCAATTTTTTATAATATAGAGAAATAAAAAAAAAATTTTATTACATCTAAAAAAAAATAATAAAATTAATGTTAAGGTGTTTAGCATTATTTTAATGATATAATCTGTATAAAAATACTATAATTCTACTATATTTCTAAATAACATACATAATAAGAATATGTGCTATTAATTTTAATATATATATAATTAATGTATCTGCAGTATGGGATTACATTTTTCATATTATCATGTATGAAACAGAGTTAAGCATTACATTGTAATTTAAATTTTTTTTTTTATTCTATGTTAATTAGACCTTAGAATTACATCGATCTTCCTTTCATAGTTTTAGTTCTTTTTTTTGTGTATTGTCTTTATTAATGAATTCTTATTATATGTATCTATGTTTTATTATTGCTTTTTTTTGCAGGATACAAGTCCTCTAATTAATTTTATTGAGTTAATTCATTTTATTTTTTTCTGTTATATATGATTTATAAAATAATTTTTCATAATTTTCAAGAATTTTTTTTTATTGAACACATATTGTGTATCTTCATTATATTATTATATAAAATTTACTGTGATAATATATACAAACTAAATAAATATTTCAGATATTATTGTTCGTCTCCTTATTTTAAGGAAATACTATATGTCCTTATATTTTAATTTTTATTATTCATTTAGATTACATATAATGGCTATAATAACTTAATTCTCTATATATTAAGGTAATTTTATTATGAGAATTAACAATTTAAAATATTATTCATATGACCATTTAATAATTATATTATACTATATATCTCAAGACACATTATGAGCTATAAGAATTTTATATCCAATGACTAAGGCATTATAATTTTATTATATTTTTTTAAAATATTCTTTTATACGTTATATTATTCAAGCTAATATTTGTTTCAATTTTATTTTATATTTTCTTTAACATTTTTTATCATATTTTTTATTCATTATAACTTTTGATAATATACAAGGTCTAAAGTAATTTTATAATCCTATGATTTATTGTTTTATAGAATATATGCTTCGTTCCAGTACATAAATAAAAACATATGTATGATAAAATTCATTCACAATTGTACGTTATACATATTCAAATTGCATTAATGCCTATTATTATTTATTTTAATACTATGTTAAAATTGAATAAATAATAATCACATATACATATAATAAGTATGTTATTGATATATATCAATAAATTAATATAATATTTACTTAGCTTTTACAAAAATAACGCACTTAATGAATAAATTTATTAAATTTATATTTTTAAAATAATAAATACAAACTGAATTAAATTAGTCCAAATTATAACCTCCTAATTTTATAAATTTTGAAACAAAATTATATATAATAATTTTAAGGACTTTACTATATTACGTAATAAGAAGTATTATACTTATTATATAAAAATGCATTTTTTACATTCATGCTATCTATTATTCTTCATAATAATTGTGTTTCTTTTATTATTTTATATATTATTTTTTAGTTTATTATTATAAAGAAACTGGTTGTAATCTTTAACATATGAAATCCTTCTCAAGTATTTATTTTATTTTTTTTAATAAATGTTGCTCTATGTACATAAAACATAAATATATGTAAGTGGAGCATATTCTTCTGGTCCATATGTAATGATTTCTTCATATATAATACCTAAGCTCAAGTAATATAATTATTAGGTTTTTTTATTCCTATATAATACAAATAAAAAAGTGCATTTAAAGAAGAAATACAGATGTTCTCTAAATATACTTCAATATATGTAGATAATTATAATGTAAGAGACAAGAAAATATGGTGAAATATAGTACCTATATACATATATTTGTTTTCAATATTATTCAAAATAATCATCTAAATAAAAGCGCGATACATATTTTTAAATAATCAGTGCATGATATATATAAAAACTACACTATAGGAAAAACACTCGGATAAATGTTCGTAAAAGAAACCTATAAATTATGGGAACCTTTAAATAATTTAAAAGGCGTGAAGTATTAAGTTCATATTTATGGAAATTGAGAAAGTAATGATAAGAAGCATTGATTGCTGCAAAAGTTCTACTATATTCTTATCCATCTTATGATAAAAATGTTGGATGTTTAATATAATAAATATATGTATATATATCAATTGTAAGTAATAAATAATTACATGAAATTTAGGTCATACAATATAGGTAAGGAATTATAAAATGAAAATTGTAAAATGAATAAATATAATTGTAAAAACATATTGATAGTAATATAATTATTCATATACATACACCTTATAAGCATTTCTTTATAACGATATAATATAAGTGCGCCATAATTTGTCATTTAATAGACACTATTTTTATGTGTGCATTTTATCCAATTGAATTTATTAAATACTTCGCAACTGTATGAAATAAACTTGGAATCTAGGGTAATATAAAATCATATCTTCATTTAGGTATAGTTCCTAATGCTGTGAACAAAATTTACAATACGCTTGGCTAAAAATTATATTTTTTAATAACATCGTATAAGATAAATATTGTTCAGTGAAATTTTACAATGTTAATATAATTAATTCTTAAGAATATATGATTATAAAATTATTAACACTTCCATTGTATTTAGTGCTATATGTTCTTATGTTATATAATAAGATAGTGATCATTGATACTAGATAAATGATTGCAATATATTTTTTCCAAAAATTGTGTATTATTTATGAGATTAAAATTTTATTCATCAAAAATTCATAAGAAAAAACATTTATATGAAAGGAAATAACTATATACATAAAAAAAGTTCTTACTAACAGTAGTTACCATTATATTACATTTTAAATAACATTGCGTACTTCATTATGAAAACATAATCATTCAAAAATATGTTATAATTATATAGTATATAAACGAAGGAACTATAAAGAGATATAATAATTTAATATATCTGCGGCATTATTAATATATATATTTATCAATACCAAAAAAAATGGCTATTCGAATACTTCATATAAGCCAACATAAAATGTTGTGTGTAATTAAAAAAGGAAATATAATCAGGAGTTTCACGGTAAATTATTATAATAAAATAAGCTAACAAGCCTGTTATTTTTCCTTTAATATATGATTATTATAACTATTTTTTCAGCTATATAACAATATTAATACACTGAAATTAACTGTGTATAATAAGTTTTTTATAGAAATATTCAAAAATGAGATAGCAAAAAATGTTTGAATCATATATTCATTGAAGCATTTACTATAATATAGTACTAACATAAAGGATATGATACTTTTACTTAATATATATACATAATTAAAATGGTTATCGTTCATCTACATAATTTGATTTCAATTTTATAATTTGTATCATATGATTTTTTTAGAATGATTAATAGAATTGGGTTATTTTTTAAAAATATAAATTATAAGTTGATGTTATATTATATCGCTGCTTATGACAACATATAAACTATTCTAACTTTACTACATAGTACAACATGTTATCTATACTAATTTTTTCAATATTAAATATTTCATTATTATGAAAAGTATTAAACTAGGGTATAATCCGAAAATAAATAAAATAGAATGCAATCATATTTTGAATGTGTTTATAAAACTCTTGTTAAGTATAGAATACCTATTTAAAAATAGACATTTTAATAATCTCAAAAATCACAGTACACATTGTTTATAATTTAACAACAATAAATAATATAAAAATTAATTATAACTTAAAAAAACATATTATATTTGTAACTCATAAAATAATATTCTCTAAATAACGTTATTAAATATACATTTTTTTTTATAAATATTACTGTCTTACATTATTACTTATATATATGCTTACATACTTTATTTGGTTTATTAACATATATATTTTTTACTTTCAGTGCTTACTATTTAATAATAAATTTGCACAAATTAATACTCAATTGCATTATATTGGTTATACGTATTTATATTGTGTTATAACTATTTTTATTTTTAATAATAGAAAGTTTTATTTATATATAAATTTTTTGTTATATATTCATCATTATAATTAAAACATAAAAATTAATGTGAATTCTTAAATTTTTTGAGATTTAACAAATCATGTACCTATTAAATTATATCAGTAATAATAATGTATTTCAATTTACACTGCAATTATGATCTTCGAAATATATTAAATAAAAACTAATTAAAAATTAAATATAACTTATAAATTTTCTGGTAATATGAATGACAAAATTAACATTTTACCAATTTATTTTTAAAAAAGGAACAGTTATTATTATATAGTATAATAATTATATAATTATGACACGAAATATTATGTATTTCTATTAAATTTTTTTTTTTAGTATTAGTTACAGCCAAATATAGTATTAATTAAACTTTCAAAAATCCAAATTTGTAAAGAAACTAGAAATATATACAAAAATTCATTCTAATCTTTCATGTCATATATTTGATATGTATATACATATATGGATTATATAATAGTATTTTAAATGGATATTTAAAAAAATATTGTGTAACTGTCTATAACAATAAAATAAACTTTAAATGTTCGTACGAATAATTTTTTAGCATTACTGTATGCAATAATTTTTTATAAATAAAAAATTTGCATATT